CTGTCCATTTTGCCCCTTCAACGCCCCATGATGCACACACTCTCTCTCTCTCTCTCTCTCTCTCTCTCTCTCTCTCTCTCTCTCTCTCTCTCTCTCTCTCTCTCTCTCTCTCGGGAGAAGTTCTGTTAGGCGGGAAACATTACTTTGTCGGGTTCAGTAAATGGGGCCACAATAGACTATATGGGCAAACAGCCTATTAAAACAGATAAATAAAGCCCAAACAATATCCGCTTGTAAGTTGTAACAAAAGACAAAATCATAACTATATCAACTATATATCAATGAAGCCTTTTAATACAGTGGTGGAGGTGGACACTTTGTATGGTTCTTTAAAAAGATTTTGAAGAGAAGAAAATGGGGTCGACAATTAGGGATACAAGGTGAATAAATGAATCATTAACATTTTATTATTTTTCATTTTTTCTTTATATTTTTTGGGCTTCTTCGAGTTTTTATATTTTTAAGGCTGATGACAAGTTATATGTTAATCCATGGTTCAGTTAGGGAGGAGGGAGTCATTCCCTCCCAACCCACTGAACCCATCACTTTTTCTCTTTTATTTTTCATCATCTTTCCCAACCCACAACACACAGAAACCCTATCTTTTTGAACTCACTCAACCCATTCAATTAAAATAAAATACAAAACAATCAAAGGTAAAATCTTAATTAGCAATAGAGTTACTAGCGGTACCACTTCCGCTTCAACATGTTGGTTAATTGGTTTCACTAACCCACTTCATCATCTCTTTTTACTTTCTCTCTCTCATTTTCTCTTGTACCATGTGTTTTAAAACTTGTAACTTAGTTGTTTTGTATTTTTTTTTAATTGAGTGGGTTGAGAAAGATATGATTTCCGTGTGTTGTGGGTTGGGAAAGATGAAGAAAAAGAAGAAACAAAAATTGATGTGACAATGGGTTCAGTGGGTTGGGAGGGAACGACTCCCTCCTCCCTTAGGATGTCACATTGATTTTTTCATAATAATTTATTTTGCTAAATATGGCACCGTCCTAAAAGTAAATGCATTTTGGATGGTCCGTTCAGGCGTTCAGCAAAGGGTAAAAAAATAGAACATGGAGAGACAAATTAGTATTAATTAAGTTAGACCGGATATTTATTATTATCTGAATATTATAAATTTTAATCATCATTTATTATTCAACTTATAAATAATTACAAGGATAATGACTTAAAATGATAACTTATTTTTTGATTTGTATACATTTAGTCACTATTTTTTTTCATATTTTTTTATTGAACTTGTTTAACTGTTCAAAAAACATCTTTATGACCTGATATAGTAGATTTCCCGACATATTTGCCAGTTCCGACGATCTTTGCAGCTCCAGTCATCCTCTCTGACGAGTCTCCGACCAACAATATTTTTTTACGTCGAGATTTCGGTCATCTTCTCTGGCCAACATCATTTTTCTGAAAGATGTTGTTCTTCATCTCCAAATTATAAGTACTTTGTTTCTTATTTTTGTTTGGGAAAATGTCATATTAGCCCAACGAACTTGTCATGTTTGTTTTAAAATGTCACTTAATTGAGGGGTTTTTTTTTTTTTTTTTTTTTTTTTTTTTTTTTTTAAGGGAATGAATTTTATTTTCACCTGTTAAAGGTCATATGTTACCACCCTCACCAAAAACACTAATTTTGACTTTATATTTCAATTTTGACTTCATAACTTCGACATTTCGCCCCTACAATTACTCAATTTCCTATAATTGTTTGATCTGATGGAATACGTGACCTCCAACTCTATTCCACCTCCAATCTATACATATTCACTATAGATAGAAACCCTATATCCCCCGAGAACTCTCTTGCTCGACGGTTTCCTCTCCACCGATGGATTTTGATCGAGAACTTCAAAAACTGACAATAATCCATCGACGATTTAAATTAAGGACGGAGTCGGAGGTGCAATCTGTAAATAACACTCACAATTTTACCATTCATAATCTTATATTTGGGACGTCAAGAACCGTTACTACAAAAAGAAGATAGAACAGTGGATTCACTGAATCATGGAGGAATTGAATAGTAATTGACAATCTGGTGATTTTTCTGATTTAGTATCCCGTATTTTCAACATCCAATTTTAGTTTTTTGAAACTTACCTTATTACCGACTTCACCCACTTGCCTGCTCCCCCCGATTGTTCGCAACCTACTTCCCTCGTACCCTCTTACCTGTAGACATGGAACCAAAAAATCAAGACAGACACATGGTTGTGCCACTGCGATGAAGTGCCTGCTGCAATTGATGTCCGCCTAAAGTTATGAAGGTATGGATGGAAATTGAAATCGATGAGACGGTTGAAATTGAAATCACTAATGAGATTAGGTGTGGTCGACGCATGACGAAAGGGAAGAATACCCGAACAGGGAACACAACGATGCAAAATTTATCGAATTTGGGGTTGAGATTATGATGTAATGGGTTTGAATTCCTCATTGTCGATCTCTTTCGAACACGATTGGAGAACATGTATTTTGGATATGCATAGAAGAGGGCAACGTTGGACTTCTCATGGTCAAAGTACACGTGGATAGTCAGATAGATATAAAATATTGCTAACCGGATGACAACTAAGAGGAGTAACCGATTTACTCCTTGATATTTGAAATATGGATGTTTTAAACCATTTAAAATGGACATTATTCCCTTAAAGTACAAAAAAGGAAAAAAAACAAAAAAACAAAACAAAACAACTGAGTGACATTTTAAAACAAACATGACAAGTTCGTTGAGCTAATATGACATTTTCCCGTTTTTGTTTTTATCTTCAATCCAAAACAGAATTCAAGTTGAAGCACAAATCTGATGGTTCATAGATTTAAACACACATAAACAAACCAAGATTTCGAGTTCATACACATTATTTGTTACCTGATCTCCTTACTTTTCCCCTGTTGAAGAAAACATAAACTTATCAGATGTTACTTGATGGAAAGCAACAAGAAACATACACACACTATGTGTGTATCGATCGATTGTAGAGAAAAAGGATAAGCAATAGAGGGTTGGAGAGAGAAACGAGAGAGATCAAAACAAGGGAGGGGAAGCCAGAGATCTGAGAAAGAGGAAGGGGTTGTGAAGGGAAAAGTAAACCATAATAGATCTGGAATTCTTTGTTACAAGAACCCAAGAACTCATTTTTCGATCTTGAAATAGGTAGGGGTTGTAAAGATGAGCCCAAAAACCATCAGAAACCCAAATCTCGCACCATCAAAAATCCCAAAGCTCGATTTCTTGTATGAACTCAGTTTCAGATTCAAGTTCATGTGTGTGTGTGTTTTTGGATTCGAGTTATGAGTTCATAAATCGAAACGAAATCCACCATATTGTTCTTGTTCATACACATGAATCGTTTCCCATTGAAACCTTCTTTTGAAAAGATCATGTTTAGCCGGAAAAATCATGAACGCTGAACGGAGAAGATGGTCGGAGTCTCACCGAAGCTCCCATATATATCGGAAACCGGCTAAACCTACTATATAGCAAGTCATACGAATGTTTTTTGAACAATTAAACAAGTTCAATGGGGGAATGTGGACAAAAAAAAACCAGTGTTTAAATGTCTAAATGTATACAAATCGAAAAATATATTACCCTTTTAAGTCGTTATCCCATAATTATATTCATGTTAATATTTTATCAAAACAATATTAATGATTAATAATTAGACAATTGTTGAAATATATAAAGTATATATTGATATGTCAATGTAAATAATTTTTAAAAAATATGTACTAAATTAATGTGAGTATAATCATAAAAGTCAGACGTGATACACCTGAAACGATACGAGTATGCGTATTCTCAATAGATAAGGCAAATCCTTTTTAGGCCTTGTTTCAAGCCTATTTACTTTTAAAGTTTCCAATGTTTTTTATCTATTAAATTGTTCTTTTTGACCAAGTATGTAATGTTAGGAGTTAAAAAGAAAATCAAAGGGGATTGTTTCGTTAGGGTGCATCTGGTAGGGGGTAATTAAGGCAAGAAAGAAGAGTAAATTACACGAATGGTCCCTATGGTTTGGGGTAATTTGCGCGTTTGGTCCCTAACTTATTTTTTTAACTCGGAATGTCCCTAATGTTTGTTTTTGTTACGCACTTGGTCCCTACGGTTTGTTTTTGTTACGCATTTGGTCCATATCTTACCTAAAAAGACTATTATTTAAATAGGGAAAAATGGTGGGATAGATAAGGTAAGGTGAGGAGGGTGGGGTTGGGGGTATGTTTATTTAAATAAATTAAAAAATGAAGGGAAAAATAGTCTTTTTAGGTAAGACAGGGACCAAACGCGTAACAAAAACAAACAGTAGGGACCTTCCGAGTTAAAAAAATAAGTTAGGGACCAAACGCGCAAATTACCCTAAACCATAGGGACCATTCGTGTAATTTACTCAAGAAAGAAATAGGGTTAATGAACTAGAAAGGTAACGAACTTTGGTATTTGTTCACATTAAGGTAACCATGTTTTTTTTTTCGTATACATTTGACCATTGAACTTGTTTGACCTGTTCAAAATAAGGTAATATGACTGGTAGTTAGCGGTAACATTACCCTATTATGAACAGGTCAAATAAGTTTACTGGTCAAATGTGTACAAAAAAAACATGGTTACCTAAATATGGACAAAAACCAAAGTTCCTAAACCCATTTTGGTAATATTAGGTTCTTTATGTTAAGTGCAAGTAGTTATAAGATCCATTGATGTGACATGAGATTGGGTTGTCTGGTCTTTACGTATGAGAAAATGGTCAAGTCTTGGGCCAACCCAGTTTAGGCCAACTAGTTATGGGTTAGGTTGTATATGTTTAAGGGGCTAGGATGTATGTGCTTTAAAGACCTAGCAACACAGCTTAGCCCATGGCTAGTCGGGACGAGACTGAACTGGGTTAGACCAAGCCTAACCTAATTGTTCATTGACTGTCGGAGCCTGATCCCAGGGTAAGTCCCTGAGACGGTTCTTGTTCAATATTACCAAAATGGGTAAGAAACTTTTGTTTTTGTCCATATTTAGGTAATCATGTTTTTTTCGTACACATTTGACCAATAAACTTGTGTGACCTGTTTATAATAGGGTAATATTACCGTAATTACCAGTCATATTACCCTATTTTGAACACATCAAACAAGTTCAATGGTCAAATATTAACGAAAAAAACATGGTTACCTAAATATAGACAAAGACCAAAGTTCGTTACCTTTCTAAGTCATTAACCCAAAGAAATAAATCATTCGCTTGATGTGTGTTTAGTTGTAGTAAGGAAATTATATCTTCGTTCAAGAGCGTATCCCTATTTTTATTTATTTATTTATTTTTTAATTGCATCCAACTATTCAAGTTCTGCTATACGTCTTCCCATTTTGCCCTCGTATAGTCGTATCTATACCGAAGGCAGAAAAATCGGCTACATATCAATTGATTTCCCTCCAAATCGGAAATAAATTAGCAACCATAATATCCAAATTCACATAAAATCAGCTAGCAGCATATCGTTCTCTAGGGATTCATTCGACCATTCTCAGTGCCAGTAATCGCAATTTAAGGTTTTCTTTCGAGTTGGCTCTGAAGTTAGCATCAAGAAACGTCATTTGAAGGTTAGCATCTCTTTAGTTATTTATTTTTTGTTTATCTAATTTCTGAAAGTGTTCTATTTAGTGCCTATTCTTCTTTCTGTGTGCTATAATATCATGTAATCGTAGCTGTCTTTGTAGTTTTTCAATTTGTAGCATCTTCTGTGTGCTATAATATGTAGTTTTTAATCTGTGCACCGAAGTCTTACCATTAACCTGATTTTTGAATAACTTGAATTAGCTGAAGGAGTTTTATGCTTTCATTTTCCTTGTAACTTGCAGAAGTTTGTAAATGCAAGCCTAAAATCTGCTGGAAGAGTTCTGATTCTAACAACAAACTGGATGATGAATTCCCTAAGGAAACTGGTTTCATGTGTGATCCTTGACTTGGATGGAACTCTTGTAAATACAGGTAAGCTTCTATGAAAGTAGGTGATTTATTACCTTGTTTGCTTCTTTTTTGCTTTCAGATGCATGTATGTTGATGGAAGTTAAAAAGCTCTATATTGACAGATGGCATTATGAGTGAAGTTTTGAAAGTTTATTTGGTGAAGTATGAGAAGAAATGGGATGGTAGAGAGGCTCATAAGATTATAGGGAAAACACCTATAGAAGCTGCAACACCTATAGAAGCTGCAGCTGCTATTGTGGAGGATTATGAGCTTCCTTTATCCAAAGAAGTCCTGCTATCAGAAATTTCTCCAATGTTCTCTGATCAGTAATGACTAATAGCCTCACTCTTTGTTGTTAAATTTGACTTATTTAGACTAAATATTAATCTAGTTTTTTTATTATTCTAATTATTAGATGGTGCAAACTTAAAGCACTATCAGGTTCATATCGTTTGGTTAAACATTTAAGGGGACATGGAGTGAAAATGGCGTTGGCTTCTAACTCTCCACGAGCTAGCATTGAAACAAAGATAACCTATCATGATAGTAAGTTGGAATTTATATATGATAAACATGATTAATCTACTATTTATTCATTTTAAATTGTTTAACTAACTTAAGTGTTTATCTATGCAGCTTGGAAAGAATCATTTGCAGCAATTGTTGTTGGTGATGAAGTGAAAGCAGGAAAACCATCTCCTGAAATGTGAGATAAAAATGTTTAAGACTTTTTTTTTTTTTGGTTTAAAATTTAAATGAGATGGCTTTTACATAATTTTCATTTTCAGATTCTTGGAAGCAAGTAAGAGGCTAAACATTGATCCTTCTAAATGTCTTGTCATTGAAGATTCGCTGTGAGTTTGCTTTTCTTTAAAGAACTTGACAAGCTCTTCTGGGCTATTTTCGATGAGGAGGGCATTTTTGTCTTTTACACAGACAAGAGACCAAGGGCAAAGTCCCTGTCCGAATATATGTCAAAAACACAGTACAACCTGTTCTAATCTATTTTGTTTTGTTATGTTATGTTATGTCATGTCATGTCATGTCATGTCCGAATATATGTTATTGCAGCTGCTAAAGCTGCTAATATGGAGGTGGTGGCTGTATCATCTCTTCCAAAGCAGTCACATCTTTACACTAATGCTGACGAGGTGATCACTTCACTTCTTGACCTACATCCTGAAAAGTGAGGCCTCCCCCCATTTGAAGATTGTAAATTTCTCTCACTAATTTAATCCATATTCCATTAAAATTCACTTATATTTCACACATTTTCAATAATTTAATTTTTTTTTTCAAAATTTCAGGGATAGATGGTACTTTACCCTTAGAACCTTGGTATCTTGGTGGTCCTGTCATCAAGGGTTATGGGCGTGGCTCGAAGGTGCTTGGAATACCAACAGGTTTCCAATTTTACCCTTGAAATTTTCAAATATTACTATGATTACCCGTAGTCGTTTTTTTAGGGTTAATCGATTATGATTATTATTTTTCAGCTAATTTATCAGTAGAAGGGTATGCGACTGTCCTTTCTGAAAATCCTGCGGGTGTATATTTTGGTTGGGCTAAATTATCAAACCGGGGTTTTTACAAGATGGTTATGAGCATTGGTTGGAACCCGTATTTCAATAACACCGAGAAGACAATTGTAAGGGCAATTTGGGAACTTTATAAAATGTAGTTAAATCTTGAAACAATCGGTTTCTAACCCCTTTTATTTGTAAATTTAGGAACCATGGTTGCTTCATAAGTTTGATAAAGATTTCTATGGTGAAGAATTACATCTTCTTGTTGTTGGCTATATCCGGCCCGAGGTACTCTCCTAAATTCATCTTGTTACTCTTGTTACTTGTTACTTGTTACTTGTTACTGATATTGATATTGATATTGATATCGATACCGATACCGATACCGATACCGATACCGATACCGATACCGATACCGATACCGATACGGGCAGACAAACTTCCCATCGCTTGAAAGCTTAATTGCTAAGATACATGAAGATGGTAAAAGAGCCGAGAATGCGCTTGAACTTCCTTTATATGCCAAGTACAAAGACGAAATGTATTTCAAAAGCATTGCACGGGGGCAAAATAGTCATTTGTGACCTCAATTTTTATGGTGTTTGAAAATTAGTTGAGCATAAACTCATGATATTAATATACAAACATGTACTGATATTGGATTATCAATTTCGAAAAATAAATTTAATTTGGACTTTTACAATGAGATGGTGGCATGTATAGTGGTGTTCAACTGTTCATTAATCATGCCACTTCAAACTTGTTATCAGAAATTATAAATAAACTTACATATTTACTCATTCTCTATTCTAATTATTTGATATTATGACATATCACTATAAACATGCACCAATGGCCACAGATGAGGATGAAGAGACAAAAAGATTGCATGAACATATGCAGGTGAGATTTGAGGTAGTTTCCACTTGGTATGTGAACATACTTATTATTATTATTATTATTATTATTATTATTATTATTATTTTAAAATTGCTTGTAGACTTTATTTAGAGGAGCCCACACGAAAGCTGTTGAGGATGCAATGCGAGTTCTTGATTTAGCAAAACTCGGGCCTAACCAGAATGTAAACGTTTGCTCACTCTACACATGGAAAATGAGTGTATGGTATCTTTTCTTTTACGATGCTATTTAGTTTTAATACAAATAAAGAATATCAACATTAATGGACTTGGGCAAACTGACACAATTAATTTAGTGACTTTTATTGGGATTGCTTATTAGTTAGGGGGTGTTTGGGATTGATTTTTTTTTTTTTTTTTTTGTCTAAAAAGTCCTTTTTGACAAAATGAATTTTTGATTTCTAGTTTTTTCCAAAAGGAGGTTTTAAAATGTATTTGAATTAGCTTTTGAGGAATTAAGAGCCAAAAAGTCAAAAGTCACCAAAAGTCACAAAATCATGACTTTTAAAACAACTTATTTTTCTTCTTGGCAAAAAGTTATTTTAAAAGAACTTTTAGATTTCCCAAACATTTTTTCAAACTTTTGGTTTTTTTGAAAAAGCCAAAAGTCCAAAAAGTTATTTGAAAAGTAATCCCAAACACCCTCTAATAGTCTACTAGGATATATGTTTGTTCTCTTCTTTTTGCTCTGTACACAAATCATACGAAAACTTGAATGGAATGGCTTTTACCTCTTTCAACCATCCATCACTCTCAACATCTTCATCTTCCTCATGTTAATTAATCAAACTAACATGGTATCAGAAAATGAGGTAATATCATTTTATGCAACCTAACCTTTTGTACTGGTTTCATCTTGTCTAATGCTACTCTAGCCAAATCGATTTATGATCTCATCTCGTCTAATACGACTCTTGCCAAATCGAGCTCTGATTTCATCTCAGGCTTGTATATTATTAAAAGACTTAGCGGTACAACTTGTTGCTCGTTTTGTTTTCTCATTCGTTGTACGATGATAACTAAGATGTATTAATATTTCAATTTTATTTACAAAAAAAGATAAAAAAAAATTAATAATATTATAATGTAATATTATTAATATATAAATATTATTATTAAAAATAATATCTCTATATATATTAAACCAGAAACTTAATTACATCACCTAAAACAATCTGACCCCTTCAATGTTTTTCATTGATTATTTTAAACCACTAGATTAATTTCGCTAATGTCATCATAACAAAAAGGAACTACAAATACGCATTTGTTACCGTCTAAAACCATTTTACCTCCAAAATACGGATTGTTCTCTTCCTGTGTTTCTCTCTCTGATGAAGATAATATCAAGAGTCGACGATCTCTCCAAATTCTATCCATGTTCTTCCTCCTCAAAATCAATTATCATTAAGCCATATTATTATATATAACGAGCCACTTATCTTCTCCATCAATGCATCTCCTGTATTGTGTTTGTCACCAACAACTTGAAATTGAGATTGACTACCAAAGATTATTCCCAAATAACCTATTTCACCATCCTAATCATGTATGTTAAAGTTGGCTTAACACACAATGGAATTTCCATAAGGATGTTATAGAAGTCAATCATCACTCAGTATTATTAAATACTAAGTCTGAACATCTTGTATAGGGTTACTACTCGAACTACATACTACATCACAAAGTCTTGGCCTATTAAGTCTGAAAACTTCATTAGCCTTTCCTTTGATCTTCATTTTAATTCTTCTAAATCTTGTACCACATTAATTTCAATACTGTCGAAGTATTTATCACCATCTTCGGTTCTTCCGACTCTATAAGCAATCACTGCTTCAATCTGGATAATGGTCGAACAACTTCATGGATTTGTACCAACACATTTATGTTGCCCAAATGTGTTTCAAACGCACATCTTTCTTCCAAAGATGTTATTATATCATCAAACATACTTTAAATGTATAATACAACTTTATAGGTATTAATACACTATTTACGATAACACGTCATATTTATTATTTTACGATATCCCGCGATCGTTTATTTATAAACTTATCGATATCGACTATCATAAGTTTTTTTATTACTTCGAAAAGTTTCATATCAGTTCTAATATAGAAATTTTTAAATCTGGAATACATAAAATTTCCTTTCCCATACTATGGTCGACAATAGATCTTAAACTTTCTCAAGTAATAGCAATATAAGCAAGCAACCTAAGGCATGCTATATTCATTTATCATTTAGCACATATTAGAATATAAGGCATAGCTCCTCTTAATATTCTAGTGCTTGTGTCCATTAGGTATTCAACCTAACGTATATTAGATACATATCGTATCATCTTCACTTAACAATCCATGTTTAAATCTAGAAATTCTCAAAATTCTTAGTTCACATAAACTAATTTTCTGAAAATTTTGAAGTAACTTAATATCTTAGAATACTAGGGTTTATCACTACCCAATACCCCACTTAAGTATTTCCTATGGTTTGTATCCATATATTTACAATGATTCAGTTCATATATTGAACTTCCAATAGTTTAAGTCTAAATACCAATCCATGGAATTGAGTTCACTTAAACCACCGCTCTGATACCATGATTGAAAGACCCTAACTTTCGTACTAAAGACATTGTCACTCCAAAACATGCTACATGCATATTCATAAAAACAATATTTTACATTGATAAAGTGATTACAAACTACTGGATACAAACCGACTATTACAAGGGTTATATATATTACACAACTACCCAGGATACTATACTTTTATACATACATGATCCCTAAATACAATAGTAATATTATAACTATTCCAAACCTTCCAACAGTATATGATTATACTGGTTACTTATCTCCTGCAATTGTTAAACATTGAGAGGGGTAAGCGGTGACGCTTAGCGCGTTCAATAATAGATACAATATAACGTTATGTCATATATATACTTCAATATGGCAGAAGCAAAGAGGAACAAGGAACAACAAATGCATATGTGAATCATGAGACAAACTTTCCATATCAATCAATGATTTGATTCAAAGATATACGATCAATGAGACATGACAATTTATATACTTGATATACACCAATAAAGCTTCGGCCCAAATGGCACAGAAGACATACATTTTCTGATTTAAACATTTCGGTAGATTTTAGGCTTATAGCCCCTGTCTAACCATCTGCCAATGCCATAGAAGAGAAGTCATTCTCTTACGGAGACATGCTCTACATGGCCAGAGGCTACGTACCAGTACCACCGTGAATCTAAGTCCTTTCACTGATCACATGGTCAAAGGTATAACTTTGCTATCATAAATAGCAGAAATAAAAATAACACGGGAAAAAATAACTCGGAATAATAACACTGAAAAACACATAGCACATATAACACATAACATACAATTGTTCATATATATTAAACTCACCTTGAAATAACTGGAGGTTAAAATAGTAATTTGAGCAGCATTTCGGCTCTAAATATGACTTTATTTGTTGAAAACCGGGAGATTTATTGAAAAACCGGGCTCTGCAAAGGTAGAGCTTCAAACCGAAAAGATAAATTTCTCGGGCTTCACGGGCACTTCGAGACGTGTTTCGGGTGTTAAAAATGATACTGGGGCTTCGGGGGATGTCAAAATAATAAAAATATTAAAAAGGGGGTGAAAATGGCTAATTTTCCATTTTACTCGGGAGGGTTCGCAGCCCTCCTATTTATAGGGTGAGATCCGAAGTCATCGGCCGAGAGGGGTGAGTCAGCGAGGGCAGGTGGCAGCAGGAGGCGAAGGCACGCGACGCGCATGCGAAGGGCCACCTGTGCGAGGTTCGGACGCGACACGGAGCGAGGCGCGTCGGACGCTGGTTGGCTACGACTTCGGTCGAATCAGGAAGCGGCACGCATCGACTGGTCGGACACGAGGCTGATCGCAAGAGCGGTGACGTGGCCGACACTATTCATGCTAAAATTCTCGAAAATTGTGCCCCAATCTTCTAAAATCCATAATTTTCTCATACGGGCTCCGTTTTTGACGTTCTTTATATGCACGCGTAGGCGGGAATATATTCTACAACTTTCGTTTAGACTTTGTTGGCTAATTTTGACTTTATTTTTAATATTATTATTTTTAACAGACCGGGACTGGTAAATCCGTTAAAAATTCATAACTTCTTCATCCGATGTCCGTTTTCGTCTGTCTTTTTACCGTTGTACTACTATTGACGAGACCTTCGATTCTTGTTTAGGTTGTGTCGGCTAAAAATCACTCGATCTAAAATTTGAGTTTTTAGCTGTCTACTGCTAAGCTGAAATTTAGAAAAATCATAACTTCCTCATACGAAGTCAGATTTTGGCGTTTTTTTTATCAAAATTCTCGGTTTAACAAATACTACGACTTTCATTTAGATCACCAAGGCTAAAAAATAGTTTATCAAAAACTCACTTTTTACGTCATTCGGCGCCGTGCCGGTTTTGTCGCGGATCTTCGATTAGTCATAACTTCTTCGTTATAACTCGGATTTCGATGAGGTTTTCGCCTAAATGTTTCTAACGAAATTATCTACAACTTTCAATAATAAAATTTCACTTATTTCAAATTTTATATTTTCGTTAAATTTCACAATTTGACATTTGATTGGAATCTCATAAGACTTCCAATACTTTCTGAATGATTCTAAGCATAATTTTACTTCATTTCTAGTAAAACCAACTGTTAGAACTCAACATTCAAATTCACATAATATTTCGTAATATTATTCACTTTTATAATTTACAATACACGATAACTGAACGTGTATGTTACA